ATGTGACACTGACAAATGTCAGTAACCGACTGATTACATAAACTCAGAGAACCTGTTTCTTCTCGACTCCCAGGAGTTTGTGGACTTGGAGAAAGTCAGGCTACAATTCTGCCTAAAGTGTTTGGATTTCTAGAGGAGAAGAGATGAAGGATAACACAGATTCTCTGTCCTAAACAGTCTCATTTTCTAGTTGGGGAGGCAAAGGCAAGGTTTGTGAAGCAGCACTGAACGATATGGGTCTTTATAAAACTGGTCTCTGAAGTGTGTGGTTCAAATGATCGATGCTGTAAGGACTCAAAGATGAGGAGGCTTGATGAGCCCAGGCACCATCAGAGAACGGTTTCCACAGGTGGGATGTGAGAGGGCCTCTGAAAGCTAGTTAGTGCTTTAGAGATGAAGTCCATTGTCTGAGCTCCATGGGGCTAGGGGGTGTGTGGGGGCGGGCTGTCTGCTGTTGGAGAGAGGTCAGGGTTCAATAGAGAGCAGGCCCATACTCCTGTCACCATGGGTGCCCAGATGCCCACACTTGAAGAAACAAGGGATGGACTAGAATTTCTGCCTATAGGAGGCAAGGGGACAGACCTTAGAGAAGTGTTGTGTGTCAGGGGAGGGCCACAACCGGGAGCCAAGGCTTGGGCACTTGTCCTGAGTGGGCATCACTTCATGGGGGCAGGTTGGCTCCTTTTCTCTTCCAGCAAGTAGGGTCCTGGTTTTGTAGTTTACCAAGAGTGGTGATTTGTGTTGTCATAAGCCAAGCCAGTCTCCTTTCTTTCTTCTGTGTGCAAGTGATTGGTACTTTCTTTATCCTGAATCTTTTTGTGGATGTAAAAACAAGCCTCTTGTGTTAACATTTTCTTTCAACTAGTAATTCCACAGTGTGTGTCACCTACTCATATACGGTATTGTGCTGGTGTTGGTTAATTCAACACTATTTGTATCAGCATATGACTAAAACATGATAGATGCTTGATTATAAAACAAACTGTGAAGCTGTATGCATGTCTGCAATCTGTTTCATTAAAGATTGTTGTTAAAAAGTGAGTCCCCATGCTTATTTCTCTGAAATAAGAAAATCCACTTCAGGAAAATGTTTCAGCGTCCTTTAGAATGACTGTCGATTCCATGCGGGGAGAATTGGTTATGAAATGCAGACTTCATACATGAAACTTGGGAATCATTTGTACTTTATTCTTATTGGAAATTAGGATCACAAAGCTGTGCACAAGGAAACAGGCTGGTGGGTTAAAATATTTTAATATTTTAGGGGCAAGACCAATGCATGCATAGGTTTGTTCACCAGGTGTGCTGGGAGGCTGAGGTTTCCCCATTGGACTTACAATCTGCCAAGATGTTGATTCCTCTCAACCCTTGAGCTTTGGAGAAAAATAGGGCAAGAGCCTTTTGGTTAATGTGTTAATTCGGGTCTTCCAAGAAGCAGATGCTGGAAAAAGATCAGTTGCACAAAAGATTTATTGGAGAAACTCCAATTTATTTGAGAGAAAATTGTCAGAGAGTCTGAGGAGGCTGGGACATCTGTCAGACCTTGATGTAGGACCAACCCCTGTGAAGAAATGGAAGAAAAGAAGGATGGGCAGAAAATCTATTTTTTTTTAAAGTAAGAGTCTCACTCTTGTCACCCAGGCTGGAGTGCTGTGACACAATTACAGCCACTGCAGCCTCAACCTGCTGGGCTCAGGTGATCCTTCTGCCTCAGCCTTCCAAGTAGCTGAAACCACAGGTGTGCAACATCATGCCTGGCTAATTTTTTGATTTATTGTAGAGACTAGGTCTTGATAAGTTTCCCAGGCTGGTCTCAAACTCTTGGACTCAAGCAGTCCTCTCACCTCTGCCTTCCAAAGTGCTGGGATTACAGGTGTAAGTCACCATGCCCAGTCAGGGTAGGAAATCTTTAGGCTGCAGTGCAGTTCTAAGAAAATTTGGCAAAACCAATGAGGTATCCTTGAGCCATGGTTTCCTACCAGAGGAGTCCCCCACTCCCTGCCTTAGTGTTTCTACTGTGCTTAGTCATTGGCTGGGAGCTGCCTGGGAAGCCTGACCTGGGTGTGAATGTGAGGAAGAACTCCAGAGCACAGAAGCTGAACCCATTGGTCATCAGCACTCCCCATGGTGGGAGAGCTATTGGAGAGGCACATTTTCATGGCTATTACATCTGGTCATCTCTGACTGCAAGAAGCTTTTTCTACTTACTTCAATATGCTTCATCTCAAGGCTGGGACCAGAGCTGGTCCAGAGGGCCAGACAGGGGCACTTAGGTTTGGAAGATTTGTGTGAATTTGACCATGCTGGGTACCAGGCATTCGCTATTATAATAAAGACTTACTTTCTCTGCTTGGGATGTAACAGTGGACACCTTGTGTTTATTTCTTATTTCACTGAAAGTATTTTGTAGAAATCAATGGCTCACCCACTGGGAATTTCAAATGACATTAGTATGGGTTCTTTCCCTTCAGGCCCCACACAGATAAGATCTGCTCCCCTTCCTTGTATTGTATTCCACTTAAGGAGAAGGAGCAGTAACAGTATCGTTCATGGTACTTGCTGAATAATTTTTAGGAAAAGAATCCTTCCTAGGCAAAGCACATTAAAACAGTGATGTTCTTACGCAAGTACCCTAAATCACTTAGAGTGTAGGTGATATATCTTCCCTTCTTTCTTCTGACTAGTTTTATTGTAGTCTTTGGAACCTGGGCATAGAATGTTGCCCACTGTTCTGCACTCAGTGAAGGTTACATACCCATCACTTACTTTCTCTTGCTCATGAAGGTTAGCATACATTATTTCTAACTATTGTGGATGGGTTGCTAAACACTGAAGCAGGAATAAGTAAGATAAAAATGTTCTTGAAAGAAATTTGTTTTTATTCTCACCTCGAATTTGTTCTTTTCGTTGTTGCCAAAGGGATCGTTGTTATATGAAAATCTAATTGTTTGCTCACTTGTCTAAAAATCTTTCGCTAGTTCTAATCAAAATGCCTTACTTAGCATGACAGAGGAGATGCTTTATAATCTGGACTACCTGCTTATGGTCCATAGTCTAGAATCGCTCTCTCTTTTTCTTTCATTTGCTTGCTCACTCTTCTTTTTCTCATTCTATTTATTCTCTTCATATATCACTAGTGACCCCAGATTTCTTAAGTCTTTCCATAATTACACACTGAATTAATCAGGTTATACCCCAGATTTCTTAAGTCCTTCTGTAATTATACACTGAATTATTCAGGTTATTCGTGATTGCTAATATAGTATCCTCAAAATATCACTTCATACAATAGAAGTTAATGTTTCACTCACATAACAGTCCAATGCAGGTATTCCTGGTTGGTGGGTTTTTTTTCTATACCTAGTATCTCAGAGACCCAGGCTCTCTCAACCTTGTGACTCTGATTTAGGGTCTTTGATTCTTCCCCATTCAGCTGATAGATGGATGGTAGAGAAACAAAACTCACCTAGCTTCTCAATGCTTTGGCCTGGGAGTGACATGCACCGCTTTTGCTGACATTCCATTGGTAAGGACCAGTCAGATGTGAGACAGCCAGGAAACATAGCCCCTGGCTGCACAGCAACTTCTCAACAATTATTCTATTCATAGGGAGAGCATAGATCCCAGTGAACTTTCAGCTGACTCTGTTCTTACGTGCTGCTACTCACATATGCAGCCTGGGTCCTAACCCATTCCTTCATTCAGCTCATCTGGACAAATCTTATGTGACCTTGTAAGATTCATCTCAAGCTTTGCATAATTCAAGGGGCTTTGGAGTGTCTCCTGTCTCCACTCATATATCACAGAGTGCTTACCAGCTGTCATAGCACGTGTCACATTGTATTATAATTGTTTGCTTATGAATCTTCACTTATACAAACGAGCTCTTATAGGACTGGGACTGTATTTTTATTTTAAATCTATAAATGTCTGGCACAAAATATGCATCCAGCAAATGTTTTATTAAGTAAATAAAAATTGTAAGATGACTGGATTCCTAAGAGAGGTAAAATCTCCAACTTCTGAAGTTTTAAAGAGTGAACTGTGGATTATTTATCCCAAAATGCATATATCAATCTTAATTTTAAATTGAGGGAATTTAGACCTCTGAAGTTACTTTGTTACTTTCACTAAATTCAGATTAAAAGAGTTCACAGTTACTGAACACAGATTACCACGAGCTTCCTAATAGAATTTGTAAATCTAAAAGTCCAGGATTGACACTCAGGTTCAACTACTCATAAAAGGAATGTTAAAGCATTCGAATGTATTTGGGTACAGGTAAGCAGAGACTTGATTCAAAAGTGCTTGAAAAATTAGAAAATGCATTATATCTCATAACAGGAAGTCTAGAATTAGGGTAGCTTTGGTTGATCCAGTGTCTCAGTCCTGACATCATTCAGGACCCAGTCTGTATCTTGGTCTTACTCTCCTTAGTATATTGAGTGGGTCCTTGGACTGGATCCATTTGTAATCACAAGACTCCTGCTAGCAAAAAATGGAGAAACAGATTGCCTTGGTCATATCCTGAGAGAGAACAATAACACCTCTCCCCCAATCCATGGGAATAAGTAATTCCTTTTAGCCTGAAGAGGATAACTTAGATTTGCGCTGCTCTGTGAATCAGAAACACTCCCAGGGGAATTCCATCTCCTGGTTGATTAGATTACTCAGTGCCTATCATAGAGCAAAAGTTTTCTTGAAGTACTTGGGTGGATAAAAGAGGTAGATATCTCTTCTCTCCAAAATTGGTAAGTGCACTAGGAAGAAAAGTAAATGGGAATGTATGCTGAGTAGTCAAGCAGTGGTGCCCACTACAAATATGTTAACGATACATTCTGTTGAATAGGTGTGTCTATGGAAGGGTGAACAATTTTCTAAACAGGACCCAACACTTTCTTCTGCCACTTCTAAAGGTTCCAAATAATATATTTAGAAGTATCCAATGATGAACTTTTTAGATAGTCTTCCTTCATTATAAGTATTTGTTCTTTTTTCAGGCCTCATAATGGGACTAATTTTACGATATGCTACAGCACCAACTGATATTGAAAGTGGAACTGTCTACGATTGTGGAAAACTAGCCTTCAGTCCATCAACTCTGCTGGTTAATATCACTGACCAAGTTTATGAATATAAATACAAGAGAGAAATAAGTCAGCACAACATCAATCCTCATCAAGGCAATGCTATACTTGAAAAGGTAAGCATCCTATCTGGTCATGTATTTTTGTTTTGTAGTATAAATAATTGCATCATATATGAGTCTCTCTATATATAATGTATTCACACACATACATAAGTGTTTTTCAATACAGCCCTATCGGGGTCATTTAGTTGACTAAGGAGTCAATATCTTGAATTATACTTTTATTACGAACTTTGTTTTGTTTTTTTGAATTGGAGTCTCACTCTGTCACTCCAGGCCGGAGTGCAGTAGCAAAATCACAGCTCACTGCATCCTTGATCTATTGGGCTCAGTAGATCCTTCTGCCCCAGCCTCCCAAGTCGTTGGGATTTCAGGCATTTGCCACCCTACCTAGCTAATTTTTTTTATCTTTTGTAGAGATGAGGTCTCTTTATGTTGTCCAGGCTGGTTTTGAACTTCTGAGCGCAAGCACTCCTCTCACCTCAGCCTCCTAAAGTGCTAGGATTACGGGTGTAAGCCACCATGCCCAGCCAAAAAGGTGTTTTTAATTTTGCAAGCCACAGTTATATTAGGTTAAAAAAAAATATTAACACTTCGGCAACTCTTCTTTTCCTGGTACTTGATTCAAGTTTTCACACGGGTTTTTTAAGTGCCATTGAGTATATTGCCAGTTGGCTGCATGAATCAAATCTTCCTTAGGCCAAAGAGAAAATGGAAAAGAATTCATATTTTTACTTGCAAACCTTGATCTAGCATGACTGGCTATCGGCGGCCAACACAAAACATGGGCCACTTGGCTATTTATAAATACACTGACATGCTGTCAGTCTCAAGAGATCTCAACTCCATCAGTTTAGTTAGGAAATCTAGGTAGAAAAATAAAAATGATTAAATGACTCATCCTTTAAAAACAGTTTTATAATGGCAAATTTGTGAGGTCCTTCAGTTACTAAAAGGAAACTCTTCCACTCTCAGGACTCTGGGTCAGAAATCAGGTAAGGTTAGCTTTTGTGGTGTATTGTACATCTTGGATCAGTGTTTGCAATAAGTGAATTCCTGTTTAACACGCGTGTGCTGGGAACCAAACTCTCTCATGACGTGTTTTAGATCCTTTTGGGTTGAAGCTGAGAATTTCCTTATTTTATAGAAGCCCATCTTATCATTTTTGTTCCATATAGACTTAGTTTTCATGTTAAAATGTAAATTTTTTTCTGCTTTGAGAGGTTTGGGGTAGCAGGGGACGTACTTGGTCTGCCATTCTTCCTCATTCAAGATGAGTAATTTATAGTAACTTTTTTTCACATTATCTTCCACTAGCACATTTTTGATTAACTTCCTCGTGACATTTGGTGAGGGCTCAGGGAAGTCAAACTCATTATAATATTAGCCTAAATCAGACTTAGGAAATTGAATGGCGTACACAAAAAGCAAATTAAAAAACGTGCTTCTGAAATAAATAGGGACAGCTTCTAGATCTTCTGCTGTTTTCAGTGACCTCTTCCATGTGTTTATTTTTGTTCATATGATCATAGAAATCTTTATATCCTAAAATAAATAATTTTTAAAAATTATCTTGTTAGCAACATAGGATTTGAATTAAAAGTATTCTCCTCAGTTTTACCATTGGTTAATACCTGGACATAAATTAAATATTTATCTCTTCACTTTTCTGCCCATCATTATCTGCATTTTGATGTAACACTATTTATTCAAACAGCCTAACCCCTCATGCCACCAAATGTGGATAATTATCCCTGATGCAATTTTGTTCTTTAACACGATTACCATAAATGCCGTAAATTAGAAATTTTGTATTAAATTATTGACATATTTCTTCCTTTATCAGCAGCCAGAGTCAAATGTTTGCTTTTGAAAATTAGAGCACTGTAATTCCAGCACTTTGGGAGGCCAAGGTGAGGGGATTTCCTGAGGCCACGGGTTCGAGAACAGCCTGGGCAACTTGGCAAGACCTCATCTCTACAATAAAAAAATCAAAAAATTAGCCAGGTGTGGTAGCGGGTGCCTGTAGTTCCTTCTACTTGGAAGGCTGAGGCAGAAAAATCGCTAGAGTCTAGCAGGTCGACACTGGGGTGGCCGTGAGTGTACCACTGCACTCCAGCCTGGATGACGGAGTAAAACTCCAACTCAAAAAAAAAAAAAAAATTAAGGCAAAAGATGGAGAAAGTGTCTAAGTTGCTAGGACCCTCTTGTTTTTTTTTTCAGTGAGTAGATTAGGAATTCTGCAAGTTCTACACATAAAGTTTCACTGACCTCAGATGGCGCTAGTGTTTTCTGGATAAACTTCTAAATCATGTGACTCGTGTGACACTTTCATGCTTCTGAAGATCTACCAGCCCCTTTATTTTATTTCTTTAAAACACAAAGAACTTCCTTGCTTCAGGCAGGACCTCTGGATGTGTCATTCTTTTTGCCTAAAATGGTTTTGCTCCTTCACTTCGGATATCAGGCTACTTCCCATCTCTAGAGTCTTGGTTTGCAATTTCACCTCTTCAGAGGGCTCCCAGTTTTCTCACACTGTGTCCTTCCTATCTTTCTCTTTTCTCTCTCTGTTTCCCCTCCCCCATCCCTCACCCCTGCTCCTCCTCCTTCCCTCCCTCTTCCATGTGTATTTCTGTCTCTCTTTCATACTACTTAGTACTATCTGAAATTATATATGTATTTGCTTGATTTTTATTGTTATTCTTATATTGTTTATTGTCCACTAGACTATAATCTTCACCAAGGCAGGATTATGCCTCTTTTACTGACCAAGGTATCCCCAAAGCCTCTCATGGTGCCTCATGCCTAATAGCTAATAAATAGTGAATGAATGAATAATTGAATGAGTCTGAGAGCTTGGTAGGGCACATATAGCTGGAGAAATATACAGTATTTAAAAATTATCATCTTGGAGCTGGTAGAATTGTGGTGTCCTGGATGTTTGATGCTTGAAGATACCTAAATTACTCTCTAGTCTTAGTTGTGCATATACAGATAATAAATTAATGATCAGAGGAATTACATGGTGGGTCCAGGGACCTACTAGTGGTTAGAACAGAGGAAGGACTGGACTTATAGTACTTGAATCTGAGTCCTAAGTGGATGACTATACCCCACACTACTGGACAGGCTCTCTGAGAGACCCAATCGTCAGAGGGCAGGGTACTTGGGGCTGAGACCTAGCAAGCTTCACAGTTAGAAAGATAGAAGGAGATAACTAGTCCTGGAAAGAGTGCAGACTGGTCAGAGTTCAGGAAGAGATCCCAATCAAGCAAGTCACAGAAGCCATTAGCATGGCCCTGCTGGGTCCTTTTTCTTTGAGGTACATATTTAAAGGGAGTGTTTGGTCTTTGTTTCTAAAGGGTACAGGATTTTTAAGTGGGTTTTATTCTTTGTTAGAAGAATGTAGTTTAGAGGCTTGGATGAAATTTCTGACATCAGGATTTGGATAGGTTGGAATAAATTCTGTGCTATGTAATCGCCTCTTGGAAGATTTTGTAAGAGCACATGTTTTTCTGGGGTAGTTAAGTGTTGACGTGCTTGGAAACAGAACCGGTTTGATGGTTCCGTGAGTTCTTTCCAATAAGAAGGTATAAAACTGGAAAACATGAGAACTGTTGGCATTTATATAAGCAGCAATGTACTCTGATTTTATGCCATATGTAAACATATAAGAATTTCAGAAAATGTCACATGCCAAGCTTGTTTTGCTCATGCGCAACACAGATAAAAGCGTAGAAAAGAAAACATATTTTCACTTAAGGACTGGTGAAAACAGTATTCTTCTATATGTTATGAGCAGATGATGAACTCAAAACAACCTTCAAGAGGATAAAACTAGAACATGCTGGTCTGTATGTATGCAGTCAATGTTTCCAACACCATTTGTCAAATTGTTCTGCAAATCCAAGTTATCCTTAACCAGTTTTAACCCTTTGGGGCCCATATCCTATTACATAATGGCTTTACAAACATTAATTTGTTATGTAATATTTAGGAATCAAATGTCTATCATGCATTTTTGAATTTTATAGCAAGAGAAAGTTCAAAACTTGTTTTTAAAGAACAGATGATAAAATAACTTTATCCCTCATGCTTTTATTCATTTATCCTTTAAACACAAATGAATTGAATCCCATCCATTTCAGTTCTGAAATAAGACACGGTCTCAAGGAGTTTGCTAGTACATCAGAGAAAAGCATGGCATATAAATAAATGAATAAGTAGCACTATTGAGAGGTATCAAAGGAGTGGGCCAAGAACCACAGGTACTCTGAAGGGGCCAATGTTGTTTTTTGTCGGGGGTGGCAGGAAAGATTTCAAAGAAGTTTGATTGGTTGACTCGTGGTGGTTGTATGTGCAGAAGTGAGGAGGCATGTCAAGCGGAGGGAAAAGTATGACATGGAAGTGAGAAAAGGAGTAAAGAATATTCCAGGAAAGAAAAACATTTCCAATTCATTGTAGTACATGGTTGGGAAGGAAGGTAGATCTTGAGGATGGAAGTTCCTGATGCCAGGCTGAATGATGCCCACTCTATGTGTAGTCAGAGGAATGGTGTAATGTTGACAAAAGCAAAGGGGTACTTAGGTTACTGTGTACAGGGTAAAGAGTGAAAGCAAAGAGACAGATAAAGCCTACACTTGAATGGTAACCAAGAGACAAATGAAAAATGACCAGAGTACCTGGTCCACTACCAGGGGAGTAAAGACCACCAAGAAGCCAAAACTTCACCTGCACATAGCCTACTTCTGTAGTAAATTTTATTGTATCCCACATCTCTATCATAAATAAATAAACAAATAAATAAATAAAACTAAAAAAGAAAACAACAAAAAACAAACAACAACAACAACACACACACACACAAAGAAAGGAAGATGATGAAAGACAGAAAAAGAAAGAGAGAGAACAGCTTACTCTGCTACCCTGGTCTTGTGGTCCACAGAAGGGTGATGGAGGGCAGAAATGCCGAAGCTAAAAGTTAAGAGAAAGAGGTGACTTGTAGGAGAAAATCACAAGTATGATTTAAAACTGATGAATGAATGAATCAGTCT